TATGACTTTCTTCTTTCAGACGAATCCAGTCGGAGTTATATAAAAAATTGTCCTGGCTATTCCAAGCTCTATCATTGAAGTCAGCGGGTGTTGCAGTGCTTGAGTCCAAAAGAAGTGAAATAAAAAGCGCCCATCCATAAAAAAAAATGTCTCATACGGCTTCGGGGGGGTGAACAAAGGCCTCCTGTAGCGAATCGATGCGTTTTTGTTAAACAATTATCCATATTCAAAATGTAATAATCACTTTAATGTAGCTTGCGCCAGCAGTTGTACACGGAAGCAGTTCCGGGCGGAAAGACACAACAGCAAAAAATGAGACAGGGTTGAAAATGGTCATAAAATTATGGTGCAAAGAACCCTGACTATTTTAACTGGACCCTAGGGGAAAATAAATAAATAAATAAAATGGTTATGATCTGTTTATTTCCACAAGCGTTAGAAAATGTTCATTCACTTGTGAAGAGAAAGTCATATTTTTTATAGAGGTGAAATAAGAGCAATTTATTAAAGCATGCACGTGTTGTCTGGTGTCACATTGTGAGGTACACAGATTTAGTCCCTGGATGTTTGTTCTTTTTACAAATTGAACTTGTTCCTGAGGCCGTCCCTAAGGGACTGGTTCTCATTGTAGCGCACAAATAACTACAGAGAATGTTTTGTTAACTTTAAATTAAAAAATGGGTCAATGATGCGCTTTTCCTGTGCATTTGAGTGACCAATGCTCAAGCATGCCTCAGTTTATATCTCATATTGAATATTGATGATATTATTGATGGCATGTTAATATTGACTGATGTGTTTTAGGTTGAAGCAGCAGGTCATTAGACAGCAGCAGGAGAGTAACTGTAAATCTTGCCCAGGATCTTCCTCTGGTCCCGTTTGTGGCTCTGATGGACACAACTACGCCTCTCAGGTACTTCAAACTGCATTCAACTTCTTTTAATTGTATTAAAATAAGATGAACTGCAGAGAAATTGATCATATCCATATGATCAATTTCTCTGCAGTTCAGCTTATTTTAATACAATTGGATTTTTCGCACTTTTTTTGTTTTAAAACAAAATTGAACTTCTGTGGCTGACAGTAGATTAAAATAATGAATTGTGCTTAATAATGTTTTTTAACTGCATTTAGTTCCTTTACATCCAACATTTGTGTAAACTGATGATGTATTTCTGTCAAAGGTGATATTTCATACTTGTTGAGCTTCTGAATCCCACCACACAAGAAAGACCACATATATCTTTCTCTAATTTTCTTAAACGTCCCATCTGGATTCATTTATAAAGAAATTTGCCGCTAGGCCTTTCTTGGAGAAAGTTTCCCCATGAATCCCCCCAGAACATTTTCCCAGAGAGCACACAATAATTTGTGAAAGACAAATAGGACATGTCTCATTAAAGGGAAGGAAAAGTACTTAGTAAGTTTGTTGTTTTAAGTGAATCATTGTAATAATGGCCACTTCAATATTGTTAATAATAATGATAAATAATATCCAGTATAAATATAATGTCAATATAATGTGAAACACTGATCTAGTCACAAATATTATAACCAAATTAACACTAGCTCAGGTAATTTTTAAGAGTCAGATAAGGTAAAATATTTTCTTAGTCCTGTCAACAAACCTGTAGAGAAAATTCATAATACTTTCACTATCCTGCAATGTTGGACAATGACGTTATTTCTATTCTTGTTATTCTGTGCCATTCAAAAAAACATTCTCTATTATTTTCTGTGACTCATGGATCAATCTGCTTGCGCAGTATGGATAATGGGCTCTATTATACCTTGTATTCTGGCCCTTGACATCCTTAAAAGTCAAAGAATTGTCTGAAGAGATTCTGGGTACTTGGGGATGAAAGAACCGTTCTGTTGAATTATGTATTATCTCTATTATATCTATTTCTGACCTTGTGAGGGAAGAAATGAAGGTTGACATCAGCTTCTTTTAATGGAGATGTCTTGTCTGAACCAGCGATTTTCACTCGTCTGTAGAAATAATTGTGCTCTATCTGGGCTTACAATTCATGCCACTGAACTGGAGCATGTGACGCACTGGACAAGTGTTACGGCGGCACTGCTTATTCTTTGTGTGTGTGTGTGTGTGTGTGTGTGTTGCACCTGAATTTAGTGCAAACTGGAGCAGCAGGCTTGTCTCACAGGGAAGGAATTGAACGTAAGATGTACTGGTCTCTGCCCCTGTACCGCCACCGCGGCTCCTGCTACAGACATGGACAGCAAACACGGTATTTACCTGCCACATGCTTCCAACAGCTGCAATTTGGTCTTGCAAAGCTTGTTAATGGGATAGTTTACCAAAAATAATTTACTCAACCTTGTGTCGTTCAAGACCTGGAACACAAAATAGGATATTTTTTAAAAATCAGTTGTTTTGGACCCCATTAAAGGAATAGTTAACCCAAAAATTCACCCAATTTTCAGAAAATGTACTCACCCTCAGGCCATCCAAGAAGGAGAAATTTAGCATTACTTCAGAAGAAAGTAAGTCATAAAAGTTTGAGTAAATGATGACAGAATGTTAATTTTTGCCTGAGCTATCCCTTTAAGATACTCTTGTAAATAAGCACCTTCTGTCTTGAATGAAGCACAATAGAAGGGCCAGCTTTTAAGTTTATAGGATCATATTTTGATGATAATAATGAATGGTTTTATTCTGAGATTGCTTCTGATGCCATTTGTCTCTTTCACATACCTTTGAGCAGTTTGCAGCTCTCGCTCTAACAAAGGCTTTATTGATTTATCAGTAGACTATGCTGCTCTTTTTCTTTCTTTGCTGCTTGCTTTGTGAATTTCTGCTGACTTTGATTATGTCTGAATTATGTCTGCAGTCTCCGCAGGCTTTTCTTGTCAAATTCAGAAGGGCAAAAGCAGGATGATTGGTTCTTCACTCTTTAATACCAACGTCTGCCAACACTCCCTTATCTCCTTTCACTGTCTCCGTCTCTCTTCTTTTCTGTCCATAGAGAGTTGCACAGGGCAGGACCTGGCAGATCTGGGAGATCGCCTGCGGGACTGGTTCCAACTGCTCCAAGGCAACGGCAAGCAGAACAGCACCGGGAATCCTGTAGCCAGTTCTGCATCAAGTGAGGATCTAACATCTCTTTAGCCAGTGCTTTTATATTAAGAAATTACAGCAGCTTCACTATGGATCAGCAGCATACAGTGACTCTAACCTCATTTATTTTGGTTGTGTCATTTCAAGAAATAATACAACCATACAGCTGTTTTCTTTTTAGTATTTTAAACACGGACCTATGATAATTGGCACTAATAAAACTGCAGTGTAAAACTTCAGATTCAGAGCTGTTATGTTTGTGTCCTATCCTGATGGCCAAAGAGCACCAGCAGCATTTTATTCGCTCAAAAAGCAGTTTTGCTGAATTGTGAAATGCAGCTGAATGCTTAAGCACTTCTATTTAAAATGTACATTTAATGGCAGAAAAAATGACCAGATCAACCATGTGCTCATCAGTTCTCTAACTAGCTATGCCTGTTTTGTTTGATACATTTATATTGTTTGCTTCTAATTTGCTTAGAAAAAAAAGGTCCATGGTTTCCATTAGTGATTTACTGTCTTATCAGCAACATTTGAACAGCTGTTTTGCATTTAAAAGGACATTAATTCAATTTTTACAGCTAATATGATGCAATCATCTATTCTGGCAGAGATGGCTCTTGGAATCCAGTCTAAAAAGCTCACAAAATGCAGAAGTATTACAGTATTTAAGCTAGTATTTCTCTTGCGTTAACATGTAGCGTGTGCTTGTTTGTGCACAGTTGTAGACCGAACTCTTGTTGCGACCTGTAAGGATTCTATTGGCTGGATGTTCTCTAAGCTGGACACAAACAGTGACCTGTATCTGGATCAAGCTGAGCTGTCCGCCATTAATCTGGACAAGTATGAAGTGTGCATACGGCCCTTCTTCAACTCCTGTGACTCCTACCGTGATGGCAAAGTCTCCACAGCTGAGTGGTGCCTCTGCTTTTGGAGAGAAAGTGAGTTTTTAGTATCTTTACACAATTAAACCAGGTCTTAATGGTTTTTATAATAATATAATGAAATATTCTATATACTACCAAATATTTAGTACACTACCATTGAAATATTTGGGATCTGCAATATTTTTTACATTTTTGAAAAGAAGCCTCGGTAACACTTAGGGACCAATTCTCTCTATTAACTAGTTGTTTATTAGCATGCCTGTTATTAACATATTGGCTGTTTATTAGTACTTATAACCAGTGTTGGGGAGTAACCTATTACATTTCCAAAGTAACCTTCCCAACACTGCTTATAACCGAATTATATTATGACCGAAGCCTCTTATGAAAAATACAGAAAAACAGTAATGTTGTGAAATATTATTATAATTTAAAATAACTGTTTTCTATTTGAATATATTTTAAAATTAATTTATTTCTGTGATGGCAAAGCTGAATGTGCAGCATTATTACTCCAGTCTTCAGTGTCACATGATCCTTCAGAAATCATTCTGATATGATGATTTGGTGCTCACGATACATTTATTATTATTATTATCAATGTTGTGCTGAAAAAAGCTGAAATATATTTTAATAGAGACAATAGATACATGGTTTATGTAGCATTATCAATCCTCTACTGTGGCATTTGATCAATTAAATGTGTCCTTGCGTAAAAAATTACTTTCTTAAAATCTTGCTGACCCCAAACTTTTGAACAGTAGTGTGTCATTTTTAAAAATTTGCATCTTGATAATTAACCAAATTTAATTAAAACATACTGTTGATAAAAAACTTTTTTTTTTCATTACATGAAAAAATAAAATATTATCAGTACAATACGTATATTTACAAAAAAAGAATAAAGTTTCATTCCTAATCAATAGTGTCAACTCTGACTAAAATAAGATGGCATTTTAGTAAAATATTTTCATCCAAAGGCAAAGACTCAAAAAAAGTAACACTGTTTTGACATTGAAACATTACACACTTCAGATTTGAAATCAGCTCTAACTGGGATCGTTGCCTCAGCATTGCACATTTGTGCCCTGCACCTTGCTGGTCAGTGCCACGGTCCACAGTTTGCTCTGCTTGGTTATAACAGCGTGACAGAAGGGGGACACATGGCCGAACATCAGTGCCAGCACTAGTCTGTGTTTGAGCATGTTGAGCACTGCTTCAGAGAGTTAGGGCTTTCAAATCTGAAATGATGTTTGAATTGGATTTGAGGGGCATGTTTGGTTTCCATTACAAAAAGCCTAGAAGACGATATTGCATGCAAAGGTTGGTCGCAGAGCGCATTTATTTTACATCAGCATGCACTGGACTGGCGTTAAAGATAAAGAAGACACCAGTCGGTGGAGGCAGGGCTTTAGAAAAATCCATCTGTGTGCTGAGAGTTCTGCAGACTCATGCCACTAACTCATTCAGTTTGCACTGGATTAAGTTTAATTGGTTTTCTAAATATAATCAAACATTAAAGGGGGAGGGGAACCATATGTTTGGATTATTGTAATCCAAATCTTTCATTTTCTCTTCAAACACCCCCATTGGATAGAAAATGAGAGATGGAAGAGCTGGAGAAGGCATAAATTGACCTTTAGCTGTTTGTGGCATGTGGAGAGAGTGATTTACAGTATTCATTTTGACGAGATGCATAAGCCTGGAGGAATTGCTATTCAGTGTGTGTTGCTAGGGTGACTGACAGTCAGTGTGTGTGCGTGTGTGTGTCAGCGGGGGAGAGCGTAGGTCTGTTTGCATGTGCATGTGTTTATCGCAACATGCTCTACATGTTAATGAGACTCGTAAGTGTGATCTTTTGTTTGAGGAATTCTTTCTGAGTGTGTGTGTGTTTACTTAAACCATGGAGCATGGCAAGTTTCTTGACACAAACAGACATATGCTCCACTGTGCATCGCACTGGAGGGGCACTGAGCTGTATCTTAGCAGTATCTTAACACACACATACACACACACACACACACACTAGACCAGCCTGGCTCTTGTTTGATGTGATTCTGCTCATGATATGTGGCTGGGCACTCTCATTTCTCCTGGGTAGGGCACAGTTGCTTTTGGCCTGTCACACTTTGTCTTCCCCTTGTATTTCCCCCGGTGGATAGGAAATGGCCATTGCAGAGGGAAAAACAACATCAGTGTTGGTTGTTGACAGCCTGTTCAGCCTCAAACTCTCTGGGACTAAAACCAGTCAGACAGAAACCCACTGCATTTTTTTAGACTTGACCTGTCCGGGCCTCACATAGTGATAGTGTTGAAGCATTGGCGAATATTCCAGTATGTGCTGCACTGATTTATTTATTAAAGGAAACATTCTGTCATCATTTACTAACCTTCATGTCATTCCCGAACCTGTATTACTCTCTTTCCTATGTGGAATACAAAAGAAGATGTTTGGGAGAATGTCCAGGCTGCTCTTTTCCTTGTAATGGAAGTAAATGGGGACTAGGGCTGATAAGCATCAAAAAGGACCATTAAAGTGGTCCTTACGATTTGTATGCTACTTTCGAAGTCTTCTGGATTCATACTCGTATAATATCTTTGTGTGATACCAAATCTTGCTTGATAGCAGTGGTGTGTGGTATGTCATTTTAAATAATATTGTATTTGTTGTTTTAACACTGTGTTAGCTGACATTTAGTATGTTTCAGAAACCAAACAAAAACAGTCCACACATTCACTGAGTCATGTAAAAATACTTCCAACCAAGCTAAAAAAGAAGTGTTGTGTGAATTTGCGTTTTTAAACAAATTGTTTGAGTGAATGATTCAGTAACTCATCGAGTCATAAAGTCACTTGCTTGGTTTTTGAATGAATAAGCAGCAAAATAAATAAATAAATAAATAGAATGAATGATTTACTCATTAAGACAGGGACTTGCCACCTACTGGCAGTTTTAGTTTCATATTATAGTATAGTTTTCATATTATAATATAACAATATAATTTCATTTTTAAAATCATTTTATATTCCAGTATTCACAATTTTATTTTTAAAAGGCTATAGTGTAATTAGGTTAGAAAATGTCAGTATTAATGTTTTCATGTATGGTGAATAAAGAAAAATAAGTAGCTCTGTAGAGTGATCTGCTCTGAAAGAATCTCTATATCTAAAGAGGATACCTTTTTTAAAAAGATAAATATTCTTTTTAATCATTGGGCATATTGGTTCCTCCTCAGTAGCTGTGGTCACCATTTACTTTCATTGAATTGAAAAGAGCAGCTTGGACATTATGCTAAATAACTTATTTTGTGTTCCTCAGAAGAAAGTCATTTTGGTTTTGAATGACTTGAGGGTGAGTAAATGATTACAGAATTTTCATTTTTGAGAAGAATATTCCTCTAATGTATTATAAGAAGGTTGTAAATTTCACCTCAGGGCATTAAAGAGAAAATTGCAATATAGAAATAGTCTATAACAGGTGTTAATTTTGTTCAAAACCTATTTAAAGCAAGTTCTATAACTCAAAATTTAATTTAGTCTTTCTTTCATGAATTGTATTGCTGTAAAACTAGAGATTAGAACTGTCTATTGTGCCACTTTTAAATTGTGCGGCTGCACGGAGAGCAGCCCTAGTGTAATGCCGCCTCATATGGGAGTTGGCGGGGGAGCTCGTGTGAGGCGTTTGTATGGAGGAGATTAGCGCTGGCTCTTCCCTAAAGGCACTGATTGTTTTTCGTCCACAGAGCCTCCCTGCCTGGCTGAGCTAGAGCGAATCCAAGTGCAAGAAGGAGCCAAGAAGAATCCAGGTAAGAATGAACGCTCCGCTGAGACTCGCTGTACTATCGCGGGAAGAGCAAATTAAGGTGTGAAGGAGAGGAACAAAGGGAGAACCAGAGAAAGAGGTTATATAGAATATATACAATTTGTAGAAGAAAGAATGGAAGAAAGAAGGTCTGTAAAAGGAAAACGAGGCAGAAGGGAGGTAAGATGTAAACTCTGAGAAACAAAGAGGCTTTGCGGCTCTGGCAAAAGTGACTCTAGAGGAGATTCATTTAACAGATGACAAGCACAAGGCTGAGATTAGCCCCTAATCAGGTGTGTGGATTAGAGCGGCGCTCATGGCTGTGGGCAGTGCTGCATGTTTGGCTGCAGCGCTCTTAGGACTCTCCAAGGACATGCTGCAGATGCTTCAGCCTATCAGAGGCAGCCAAAATGCAAACAGCCCCCAAAGCCTGAGAACAAATATCAATGTATATTATACAAATAAAGTGTTTCATTGTTATTGTGAAAGATTAACCCATGTTTACTCTGAGGTGCATTTATTATTAAATCACAAAAGGAAGAAAATCTCCTAATGTAATATCTAAACCTATAAAATAAACCTTTTTTCCCCTATATGATACATATTAAGAGAGTTACACATCTGTGCATTCCAAAAAAGATAATATTAATATTCCATAGTGCATTACCACTTTTGCCAGCCATGTTGAATAAATGTTAAAAAATAGAAAAGATGACAGTCCTAAGAAAAAGCCTAACCTAGAAGGTGCAACCTGTGTTTAACACTATAATGCATTTATAGTTAAATCACAATACAAATTTTTTTTATTTTTACTTCTTATATTCTTTTTTAAAACAGAAATATAATAATTTTCTGCCTTTTTTAATTGCATATTTTGAGAGGACTATACATCTGTCCATTGCTATGCAAGATTATGATCAATATTACAGAGGTTCAAGGAGTATCACCATATTTGTCAGCCTCGTTTAATTTATGTTGTCATAAATATAAAACACAATTACATAAAAAGAAGACCGTCATGTAGAATTATGGGTAAGTGTCAAAGGAAAAGCTTAACCCTAAAAAACAAAAAAAACAATCTGTCTTTAACCCTCTGAGGCATTAATTATTAAATCACAAAGGGAAATGATTATCTATCTATATATATATACATCTATCTATCTATAATATATAAAATTTCTTTTTTTTTTTTTTTTTAGAGTTGCACATGGCCATCACTTGCACCAGCTGCTTAATTTATGTTCTTGTAAATAAAAAGCACACAGAGACATAAATAGGACAGTCAGGTTGAATTATGGGTAAGGGTCAATGGAATCACCCGTGGTGGTGGTTAGGATATAACATCACATTCTGAATGGTTAAAACTGGCTTTTAAAGATTTGTCCCTTAGTACACTCAGTGCATCAGAGGGTTAAATCCTGCATTTCATTGCTAAATAGATCATGATGATTATGTGGACATATATATGTTTATTACACCGTGCAGTTGTTTTTTTATCGTGCATCATGATTCGAGACACTGCAGACAGAAACCCAGCCCTCAACCCTCGCCAAGGTTACATTTTATGCATTACAATGAGCAGTGACACTTGAGTCTGTCACATGATTTACAGCAATATGCAAACTAGTTTGCAATGTCACCCGTGATGCAAAACTCATTTTGTATAGGATATGAAAATGAATGTAAAATGTTCTCAAAGCGTGCGTGTCTGCGTGTTTCTCTCCCTACTTGTTTCAGATACATACATTCCCAGCTGTGATGAGGACGGCTTTTACAGGAGACTGCAGTGTGACAAGAGCAGAGGGGAGTGCTGGTGTGTGGACCAGCATGGAGGAGAGTTAATGGGCTCCAGAATCCATGGCAACCCCGACTGTGGTGAGCACGAGCACAACACACACACACACACACACACTACACAGAGGACAATGCTCTTTCTGTAGCTACAGGGCTTAGGGCTTAGATCCACAAAATCATCAGTCACCCATCTGACAGAAGACCAAGTGCTACATTCATTAGGCCAGGTTCATTTCCATTCCAAAAGAGCAGTTGTCTCACCGAAATAAAGGTCCTTAAGATTAATTACTACTGGCTGCGACGGACCTGCAGGTGATAAGAACAAATCCCCTGACTGGACATAAAATAGCGATTAAAAAGCCCAATGTCAAAGTCACACCTCCTGTTTGTTTATTGTTTTCGCACCAAGCGCATATTGTTTAGCCTAAATCACTCGCAATATTTTTTTTAACATTTCCCTTTTGCAGAAGAGGTGGTGACGTACTCGGGAGATTTTGGCAGCGGGCTCGGATGGGAAGATGAGGAAGAAAAGGAGGCGGAGGAGAACGGCGAGGAGGCTGAGGAGGAGGAAGGGGAGGTGGGGGAGGTAGATGACGGTGGATACATTTGGTAAAACGAAACGTGATTCTCACCTTGTTCGACGTAGCTTTCTGTGGCCCATTTCTACAGAGGCAGCTCTATCTTCTGACATTAAACGGTGGACACTGGAGGGTCTATCATCTTTATACTACACTCCAAACAGCATTGACTTAGGGAGGGTGGGGGGGAGGGTGGCTTGGCTAGTGTTAGCTGTAGTGAGATTATGGTATTGGGAAAGAGTTTTCGATTATTGGGCTTATGGATACTTGTGAAACATCATATTTTTGTTGTAAGTGCAAGAGTTTTCTCCTGAATCAGTCTCTAGCATCTGCAAACACGAGTTCAGAATTAGGCGCTTGATAGGTGTGATGTGATGCATTCTTATGCAAGTCTAATAAGTACATACTTTCGTCACTATACATTCAGAAATGATACCTGTTAAGTCTAAAGCGACTTTTTAAAGTATGTATATAAAGATGGACAGGCTTCAGGGTCTAACCTGTTTCATTAGATCTTCTGTCGACCATCAACAACTGCTTTCTTTGGGAACTGAGACTGCTGCTAATGTTTTTGCTGTTAGAGTTTCTGTGAATTCTTTTAAATGTCCTCCAAATGATTTAGCGTATATGAACACAGATTACTATAAATGCTAAGAGACACAAAGTCCAAAAACACCAAGAGCTAAGTTAGCTTAGCTCAAAAAGCTAAGACTGTTACCCTGTTCTGGCTGAAACAGTCTCTGCATCATTTCGTTGCTACCTTGAAGTAGATATAGTCATAAATGTCTTGAGATAAAGTAGCCTTGTCAGTGTAATTGAAGAACTGTTTCTCCACGCTCACAAACTACAACCGATTTTAGGCTACTTGCCAGAAATACACAATGCACTTCTACAAGACGATCCTTGTCCTAAAGGCACTATTTTTTTCCCCGTCTTTTGTGTAATAATCCACCGAAACCAGAGATGGCAAAGCATTATATTTTCATATAAATTATGCCTCAATGCAGTAGCTTTCTCCCTCAGCCCGACGTCCAAATCATTGTTTTCTTTGAAATGGACAGTCATAAATCCTGAGATATGTGCGCTCTGGTTTCATATGTCTGTCATAATAGAATTTGCTTATACTCCACTAGGTCAGGCTGTAATACGGTACTTCTGATGCAACATAACGAGGCAGTGTATGGATGAACAGTAGAGGCAGGAATGAGCTTTCGAAAATGCATTCTGACATATTCTCTCTCATATACTCAAAGGGACCAATCTGTCTTTGCAGATGTCTTCTAATCAGATCTTCACATCATTTGCAGTGAAAGATGTGTTGGCTGTAATGTTCCTATGGTGCTGCAGGGATTTATATTCAAGATCTGCATCTTAAAATCTACGACTAAAGGTGAAGTACATGAGTCCCGCAGTAAAAAATATCTAAAGCATCAGTTTTTAGGGTTAAAATGCTGTAAAACGTGTATGAATTACAGACTCGGCCTGGTATGATAATTCACTCAGACGGGATTTCGAAGCTCCACATAGGCAAGAGAAAATGCATTTGATATGGTAACATCCCCAGCGTAAACACATTCATTAATGTACCGCGGTGTCTACAGAAGTATATAAATCCTCCAAATCTTACTCAGCAGTGTACATGAGTCTGCTAACAGTGATGTTATACCACTTGGACTAGTGTATGATTGTATTGTACTGTACATGCCATTATTATTGTAAATACTTGGATTTACTGATTAGAAAACATTATATTTACGCTGAGTTGCAGTATATTTGCATTTAGTTGCATGTTTCTTTGTCCGAGTGTGTCATCTTTCTTGCCTGAATATGATTAAAGGCACTGGGCCCGAAAGTGCTGTTCCTTTGTTCTCCTAATTACTCCCAAGACTCTGCGACATGCTAATTTTCATGTGATACTGGAGACATGAGAAAACAAATCTTTTCAACCCACTTTTAAACACATTTTTTGACAAGTGCAATTTATAATAACTACCAAAAATACCCAACAAAAGTTGGTTCTCAAGGCATACAAGAGTCACCAGAGGGTTCAAAAAAGAAGACATATTTTCACTTTAATAGAAAACATGATGTAAACACATCTTTCAAATATTCACTTATTGTCATTAAGAAAATTAAACCGCATTTAACATTAAGAAGAAAAAATGTGCATGATGAAATTATAATTATCTGCTATTATACTCTATTATAATACTGCATTGATTCATTATTGACACACATTTCATATTTTAGCAATCCAGTGTAGCCTGCTTGGCATCAATCTAAAATAGTTAGAGAACAGTTTTCAGCCTTGGTTTCTAACCATTTTAGGTTTTCATCCCTGGTTTCTAACTATTTTATAAAAAAGCGTATGATGAAGCTCTGCTATAATACTGCATTGTTTTAGTGTTGGCACACATTCATATATTAGTGATCTAGTGCAGCAAACATTCTAAAATTGGAATTAGAAACCAGGACTGACATTTTTTTTTGTATGATAAATGTATTTTTTAATCCTAAATCGTTGCAAATGTAGTTATATGACATGATACATAGTGCTGAAAAGAACAATGTTTTGTTTTGACCAGTCGTGTTCACTTGCTTGTATCTGATTAAAATATATAAAAAATGTGGAGACTGATTAAAGCTTGCTCTGAAGGCTTTGTAGTCTCCATATCTTCCTGACATCGTCCTCTGCACTGTTAAGACCTTAAACACAGCAGCATCTCCCGTTTGAGAAAAACGTCTCAGCAGAGGCTCCAGAACAGTCACTGGGATGCTGAAGTTCAGGTGGGGATATGTCACTTTTGCTGCAAAGTCTCTTGTGTTACTGGACACGATACCTAATATTGGAATATATAAGATAAAAAAAAAAAACATGAGAAAGAATCTGCCTATGAAAGCTTGATTTAAACAGACATTGTCATCAAATGAGAGCTGGAATGCTTTGATGCCGAACTATAAGAGAGAAAAATATGCTTAATTGGTCACATGGTGCCCCCTTCTGGTTAGAGAAGGTATTGTATATTTCAATCTCCACTGAATACTGCATTTTTACTGAACAACTGGTTGATGGTCTGATAAACAAAACCTTTTCATTTAATTCCTAACTACTTAAAATTAAATGTGTAATGATATTACCTAGCAATTCCCCAGTGGCAGAGCGGACCACAGCACCACCACTGGCTCCAGACTGCACTGCACAAGTAGTCTGCAGCATCACAGGCCGTGACTGATGGGTAATAACTCTGGATAAGATCCCTGAGGTCAATGAAGGGCCACAGCTGCTCCCTAAAGCTCCATAACCCACAACAAGCACATCCTCACCTAAAAAACACACACAACATGAGAATTCCAGGTGCTGCACATGGACGAAGTACACACAGTTACAAAATATTGTATACAAACTGAAAGGGATCATTATATTTATAATACATTTAAATGTATTAAATGAGTTAGTGTATATATAGTCATCATTCTGTAAGTGGAATACATTTAAATGTATCTATGTTCCTTTTCAGCATGATACATAGTGCTGAAAATTATTATTTTTTTTTGTTTTGACCAGTTATTATGTTCATTTGCTTGTATCTGATTAAAATAAAATCAGTTTAAGGGATGCAGGAATTTAAGCAGGATTTCTGTGTAATCTTAAATAGTCAAATTAAAAGAAATTGTAAGTATCACTGAAATGTAATTACACTAATTTTTATGTTGAAATGACACAAGTCATAATTTGACAATTCTGACTTATTGTCATAATTGCTGTCCTAATATTTACTTTTGATGTGTATTTTGTCACTTGACTTGCATTCAATTTCAACTTCATAGTCATAAGTCATAATTATGTAATCATTTTAACTTTTATGTCATAAATAATTATGACTTTTCATAATTGTGACATTTCATGCCATAATTATGACGTTTTATCTCATAATTTCGACTTTTTGTTAATTATCTTAGAATTATGACATAGTGTGTCACAATTTTGCCTGTTTATTTCTATATGATTTACCAAAGCATGATTCTTTCTTATGACAGAAGTAAGCTTCCATAGTTATATTTTGTATGTAAAAGACTGGAGTTAAATAAAAAATATAGTATCAAATATCACATTAATTGTCGTATGTAAAATACTACGGTTAAATATAAAAATATACATGTAGTGTCAAAATTGATACAAAACCACCTGATATTTGGATATGAGGTTGTCACATATATAAACTGACACACTGGAAGGAACAAATATAATTTTTCTTATATTGGTGGCATTAGACATCCACAGAAAAATCACACCAAAATCTCAAAACAAACATGCTAAATATGAGTTTCAATAAAACAGGTTTGCAGCACATTACCTGGGTGAACGTATGTGGTAAACTGTGTTTTTACTGAGTCTGCGAGGGGTTCCTGAAGCTCCACCACAGCGATATCATAGGGAGATGATGGTGCTGATGAATACAGCACCTTACCACTTACTGCATGAAATCTGAGGTGGAAAGTTTAGATATTATTACAAATCCCATGGTGATTAAAAATACCAATAACATGTAACAGTTTTAACAAAGATCACCAAACAAAATGTCACTTCTTTAGGCCTTATAATTATGAATATGAATGAATTCAAAGCCCATTACCTTTCTCCAAAGTTGACTCTGACTGTAAGCACAGATTTTTCATTCACCACATGCCTGCAGGTCAGAACCAGATTCTGGTTTAGCAGCACACCAGAACCCCACAGCTGGCCGCTCTCAATCAGCACCACTCCAGGGTAAAATTCAGAGCCTGGCTTTCGGTTTGCAGTTAATGGAGCTTGAAGAGAGCCAGTAATTAACTGAGATGACTTTTCTATCAGCGACTCCTGGATGGCACCAGCCTGTGGCATGTTTTTCAGAATCAGGTGAACCGAGCACACAAGTGTCAGCCCAATCCATTCATCTGATTTCCAGCACAGTGGTGAAACGATCAAACCCACAAGGTAAGATCTGTTTCCTTTGCTAACAAACACAGCACCTCCTTCGGTGCCAGGCAAGCAGCGGGCATCAGTCAGGATCAGGGCATTCTCATCTCCTGCCAGATTACTAACTATACCTTTACTAATTGTGTTCATGAAGAGGTCTGGACAGAGACCACCGAAAGGAGACCCACATGCGATGACATGACATCCCTTTTTAAGACTGCCACTCTTCACCCATGGAATAGTTTCCTTACAGGTGCATGAGGATGAAGTGGGCACTTTTAAAAGTGCAAACCAACTTAAAAACCTGGAGTCT